ATCAATGTCTGAGTCTAGAAATTTTCGAAAAGGTTAGTGATTCAGAATCTGCAAAAGAAGTTTGGGAGATCCTTGAGAAATCTTTTGAAGGTGCAGAAAAAGTGAAAGAGTTGAGGTTACAAACTCACAAAAAAATGTGTGAATTACTTCAGATGGAAGATAGTGAGAGCATGTATGATTTCTTCACTAGGGTTATAAAACTAGTGAACCAAATCAAGGTATGTGGAGAAGCGTTAACAACAAGAGTTGTTGTTTCAAAGATCTTAAGGTCTTTGGCTCCTAAGTTCGACCACGTGGTGGTAGCCATAGAAGAATTAAAGGATTTGTCGAAGTTAACAAAAGAAGAGCTTCAAGGAACACTTGAATCTCTTAAACAACAAATGGATGAAAGAGTTGTAGAAAAATCGAAGAGTGATATGGCTTTGTAGGCACAATCAACAAAAGAAAGTAAAGGCAGAGGAAAATGGTTCGACAAATGTAGAAGTAGTTATAATAATTTGAATGGAAGAGGAAACCAGCAGGAGGGAATTGTGTCAAATCAAAGAAGACCTCATTACCAAGGAAACCAAAGAGGTGGTGTTGGAGGTAGAGGAAGAGGTGGTGGTCGAAAGCCTGACAAGGTCACATTCAATGTTTCAATTGTCAGAAGTATGGTCACTATTCTAGTGATTGTCCAGAAAAGCGAAAGAATCAAGAAAGTATGCAAAGTTCTCAAAACATGAAGAAAAAGAGATAACGTTGATGGTTACAACAAAAGATGAAGAGAAATTCAAGGACCAATGGTACTTAGATTCAGGATGCTCATCACACATTTTTGGAAGGAAAGATTGGTTTGTCAATATAAAACCCTCGATGAAGAACACTGTGAAATCTACAAATGATAATACCCTAGCGGCTGGAGGTATTGGTGATGTTATGATTATGAGGAAAGATGGCAAGAGGTCAGTAATTTCCAATGTGTTGTACATACCATGCATGAAAAGAAATTTGCTCGGTATCGCGTAGTTGGTCGAAAAGAACTATAAAATGTCGATCAAAGACAAGATGATGAGAGTCATCGATGCAAATGGAAGGTTAATCTTGAAGGCTCCTATGTCTCAAAATAGAACCTTCAAGATTGAACTTAATGTGATGGAGCACAAGTGTCTTTCGACTGCAGCTAGCAGAGATGAATGGATATGGCACTATCGACTAGGCCATCTTAACTTCAGAGACCTCAGAGATTTGAAAAGAATAAATATAGTTTCAGGATTACCAGAAATAGGCATTCCAAACGAGGTATGTGAGGAATGTGTGTCATCAAAACAACACAAAAACAACTTCAGCAAAGATGCAGGAAGCAAGTCGAAGGCTATTCTTGAAATCATATACTTTGATGTATGTGGACCAATCCTGGTTGATTCAAATGGAGGTAATAAATATTTTGTTACATTCATAGATGATTTCAGTCGAAAACTGTGGACTTATCTGATCAAGAAAAAAATCAAAGTGATAGAGGTATTTTCCAAGTTTAACTCATCTGCATGTATTTGGATATATTGCACATAGACATGTGCCAGATCAGTTGAGAATAAAACTTGATGACAAGTTGAGTCAGATGATCCTAGTAAGATATCATTTGACAGGAGGTTACAAGTTATTCGACCTAATGAACAAGCAGATTGTGATCAGTAGGGACTTAATCATAGATGAGCTTAAGGAATAGGATTGGAGTGAAAAGGTCAAGAAGGATTCAGTGAGAATCTTACTTGAAGAACCAGAAACTCAATTCGAAAGAGAAGTTCGACAAGAGGAAGTTATAGATTAACCAGGTACAAGCAGACCTCAAAGAACAAGACATGTGCCTGCAGGGTTGCAAGTTTGTGTTATTACATCAAATGATGTGGTTGATAATGATGGTGAGCTGGTACATTATGCTTTTTATGTATATGTTGAACCTATCAATGCAACTAAAGCATTGAAAGATTCAAAGAGGGTGAAAGCAATGAATGAAGAAGTGAAGTTCATCGAAGATAATAACACCTTGTCACTTGTCGAATTGCCTCAAGGCAAGAAGGAAATCAATGTGAAGTGGGTATACAAGGTGAAGTTGAATCCTAGAGGGGAAGTAACTTGACACAAGACAAGACTTGTGGCGAAAGAATTTCTTCAGAAGGAAGGAATTGACTTTGATGAAGTATTTGCACTTGTGGATAAGATCAAAACAATCAGGTTGGTTGTTGGTAGCATAAATGAATAGTTGTCACATATGTTAGATGGACGTAAAGTATGCATTCCTGAATGGACCCTTAGACGAAGAAGTCTATGTTTCACAACCAGCTGGATTTGTGAAGCATGGCGAAGAGAGAAAGGTGTACAGGCTGCATAAAGCTCTGTATGGATTGAAGCAAGCTCTAAGAGTTTGGAATAAGAAGATATATATCTTTCTAAGGGAAAAGGAATTTGTGAAGTGCACAACCGAACATGGAGTATATGTAAGAAGAAGCAATAGTAAATTTCTTATACCATGTCTTTATGTCGATAATCTCTTGATAACAGGTAGCTACAAAAGTAAGATCGAAGACTTCAAAGGTGATTTTAACAAGGAATTCGAAATGTATGATCTTGGTGACATTTCATATTTCTTTAGCGTCGAATTCTACATGAGCAGTAGAGGATTGATGATGCATCAAAGAAGATATGCAGGAGAAATTCTCAAGAGATTTGAGATGAAAGAATGTAACTCAATATTGACACCTACTGAGCCAAGGTTGCAACTGTCGAAATATTCAAAAGAAGATGGTGTCGATCCAACCCAATACATAAGACTTATTGGGTCATTACGTACCTTTATCACACAAGGTCTGACTTAGCATATAGTGTATGTATAGTGATTAGATTCATGCAGAATCCAAAGGTATCACACCTAGAAGTGGCGAAGAGGATATTAAGGTATCTAAAAGGAACTCTTGACTATGGCATTTTATTTGCTGCAGTTGATAAAGGAAAATAATTTAAGTTATTGGGGTACACTGATTCAAGTTGGTGTAGTGATTATGAGGATAAAAAATCCACAATAGGATATGTGGTCATGCTAGGTGATGCACCAGTTGCTTGGAGTTCGAGAAAGGAACTAGTAGTGGCATTATCATCGTAAAAAGAAGAGTACATAGTTGCTTCTGTTTGTGCATGTTAAGCAACATGGAAGATGAACTTGGTCAAAGAGATTACAGGTAAAGATCATGGAACAATTACCATGAAGATCATCAGCATGCCAGCTATCAACCTAGCTAAGAACCCGATAACACATGGTCGAAGCAAACACATCGAAATGAGGTTCCACTATCTTCAAGAGCATGTAGCAGAAGCGAAGATGAACTTAGAACACTGCAGAACTGAGAATCAGATTACAGACATCATGACAAAGGGAGTGCAGGTCAAAGTATTCAGAAGACTAAGAATTATGATGAATATAGATAGTTTAGACACAATGAATTAAGTGGTGTGTTGAAAGTGTAATTCTTTGTGTCGAAAGTAGTATGTTGCTCGACACAAGGTTGTATCGAATTAGCTTAGTATGTCGAGTTATTAGGTGTGTCGAAGCAGTTGCTACACCAAATTTGATTTAGTTCTAAAATAGGTATTTTGGGCTTTTAGAGTTTTGAATTTTTTGGCTTATGGAGAAAGCAAGCTCAATTATAAATAGAGGGAGTAACCCCTATTTTTGTAATAAATTCATTCATTCACAGTATTTGTAGTTGCAAGTGAATAATTTTTTTTCCACAGTTTGTGGACAGAGAGTTACTTTGCAGAAATCCTAATTCTTTTCTTCCTTAAATTTCTTTTCTTTTCATCGTTATTGTGTGAGTGATAACAATCTTGTTCATCAAGATTGATAGAAATTCATCATAGAGGTGATGAATTTCCAACAAACTGAACCATATTATATTTACAATTTTAGAACCAAATCATATAATAATTAAATCAAAACTAAATTAAAATTAAACCGAACCGAAATAAAAAAAAATACTAAAACAAATTTTATTTTTTTTATAAAAAAAATTAAATAATAGTTTAACGGTTCGGTTAGAGAAAAATTGACTTCTAATAATTCGATACGATTTAAAATTTCTAAACGGTATACCAAATCAATAATTTTAATTTGTTTTGGTTATGTATAAATAGAAACAGTTCGGTTCAGTTCAGTTATAGTAAATAGAAATAATTTGGTTCAGTTTGAATAAATTTTTACTAATTCAATTTTTTCAGAAAATGATTCCATAAACAACAATACTATTAAGAATAATCCTCGCATATAATACATTTAGATCATATTATGAAGTTTTTTAAACATGTAAATAAATAATAGGTGATTCGATTTTGAAAATCTAATAGTAGATTATCCACTAAATCTTATTTTAAATTCTAATACCAAATAAAAAATTATAATTTAAATATAACTCGTTCCTTCAAAACCAACTAATACCCACTAATAAAATGATAGGATGAAGATTAGTTTATACATGTTTATCTCATATATTTTTCAATGTGAACCGTTTATTACATTAAGAAAACCTATTTTTAGTAGGAGAAATTATAATCTGAATACACAGATGAAACTACGATCTCTATAGAGTTGGATAAACTGTAAACCTAATTTTGTCGTATCAAATTAAACAAACACATTAGATAGCATATAAATATAATCTAAAGATTAAGGAAAAGACATGCAATATAAAAAAGGAATAAAAATTAGAAAGTAGAAGAAAACTCCATCTATATATTGATCCATCCAATTGACAATTCTTGGAAAAATAAGTAGCATCCAGCTAGCTAATTCGTTAGACATAGACTTCACACCAACCTAATAACTTGCATATCTTTCATTTTTACGCTTTCAAACTTTCACTTTAACTTACTCACTCTCAAACACTATCTTCAAATAAACCACCAACATAGTTATATAAACCACATAGTTTAACAACCTCTCTTCATAACTAACTCTCTCAAAAATCCTCAAAATGGAGTTTGATCGACTTGAACTGTCCGATCCGGGTGGTTCGTCGCGTTCCACCGCGCCTCTAACAAACTCCACCACATTCAACTCCAACCAGAAAAACAAAAAGAAAGTCATCATGCTTTCAATACTCGCCGCAGCTTTAATCATCGCCTCCGCCGTCTCCGCCGCACTCATCACCGTCGTCCGTTCGCGCGCTTCCGATAATCAAAGCACCTCAAACCTCCGCGCCAAACCAACTCAAGCAATCTCCCGAACCTGCAGCAAGACGAGATTCCCCACACTTTGCATCAATTCACTCCTCGACTTCCCGGGATCCACCTCCGCCTCAGAGCAAGAACTCGTTCATATCTCATTCAACATGACACACCGCCACATCAGCAAGGCACTCTTCGCGTCCTCAGGCCTCTCGTATACAGTCGCAGACACTAAAGTCCGTGCTGCATACGAGGATTGCCTGGAACTAATGGACTCGTCCATGGATGCAATAAAGCTTTCCATGGACTCTCTCACAACCATGTCCTCGACTTTATCCCGGAATGATCAAGAAACTGGTCTCACAGGATCAAACGAGGACGTCATGACGTGGCTAAGTGCCGCGTTAACAAACCAAGACACGTGTTTGGAGGGATTTGATGACACTACCGGCAATGTTAAGGATCAGATGGTTGGAAATTTAAAGGACCTGTCGGAACTCGTGAGTAATTCTCTAGCGATATTTTCTTCGAGTAGTGACGGTGATTTCACGGGAGTGCCGATACAGAACAAAAGAAGATTAATGGGAATTGATGATAAAAAGCGTGATAGTGATGTTATTGTCGGTGATATCTCGCGAGAATTTCCGGAATGGCTTCACAAACGAGATAGGAGATTGTTGAGTTTACCGGTATCGGAGATACAAGCTGATATCGTCGTTTCAAATAGTGGCGGAGACGGCACGGTGAAGACAATTGCAGAAGCTATTAAGAATGCGCCGGAACATAGTAGCCGCCGATTCATAATCTACGTAAGGGCAGGAAGGTAATTATATATCTCTTTTGTTTTTGGCAGTTTAAAAAGTAAAATAAAAACTTTTCTGAAAAGGTTTCAATTTTCAAGATAACTGACGTACTTTTTTCATTTTTTTTTTCATTTGAAAATATTACCTTTTGTTTCTATTTAACCAACTACATAAATGTAATGAAGTAATATGATATGTATCTAGAAAAAGAAAATTAAGTGAATCATAAGTTATTGTTTAAAAAAATATTTATTTACATGTAGTTGAAACATGTAATAACTAATACTGCTAGTGATTGGTAGTGAGATTATAATCAATTAGTGATTGTAATTTATTTTCGCTAAATATTGTAAATTATTGGTATTGTTCTTTTGCTTTTGTAATATACTTGTAGTAGATGAAAAGTGTGACGTATGATCTTGACTTTATGTTATAATGGAAATTTCAGGTATGAAGAGAATAATTTAAAGATTGGAAAAAAGAAAACCAACATCATGTTTATAGGAGATGGGAAGGGCAAAACTGTCATTACAGGAAGAAAAAGTGTTGCAGATGGCATGACCACTTTCCACACCGCTTCCTTTGGTAAGGTTCTATTCTATACGCTTCTATAATTTTCTTTTTCTTTATATAAAATAATAACATTAAATTTAAAAATTAATAAATTCAGTAAATAAAAAATTAAATTAATAAGTACCATGTCCATGCACGATATAGTAATGCACATGGCATGCATCTGGAAGTGAAAGTATATTTGTTTGAACAATAATACCCCACCGTTTCTGTATTTTACTACAACGATGGAATTGGAAGTTGGAACCATACATATGACATGACAGACAGCATGTTATATTAGAATTTATAAAAAAAACAGCATGTTTGATCGTGATGTGCATGTCATCAATGCATGTATTATTGTTGTTCTTACATAACGCGTTTTGTAAACTCCACTTTCACAATCAAAAGGTAAAAAAGAAAGAAAAATTAAAATTACAGTTTAAGCCATATAGTTATAAATAGTGTTTTTAATGTTACAATTAAACTAATTAATTAAAGTGTGACATTGCATTAATCTTACGCATTCTCTAATTAATCATTTACTTCTTGACTTTTATTATCATCATACCATATTGCTAGTACTAGCTTAACATTAATCAATCAATTGTTTCTTTTATATAATTGCCAATTAATCAATTGTTTCTTTCTACACACCAAACATCAATGACTCCAAATTAAATTATTCGTTACGGGTCAATCATGCATTACAAGACAAATTTGTCGACAATATCATATTCTTTATTTTTTTTTAGTAAAAAATTAATATATAAATTTTTGTGACTTAATTAATTTATTCAATTTAATTAGTTCGCATTTGTTACTTAACGCAGCTGCTAGTGGTGCTGGATTCATGGCACGTGATATCACATTTGAGAACTATGCTGGACCGGAGAAGCACCAAGCGGTGGCGCTCCGTGTCGGAGCCGATCACGCGGTGGTGTACCACTGCGACATTTTGGGGTATCAAGACTCGTGCTATGTACACTCTAACCGTCAATTCTACCGTGAATGTAGCATCTATGGCACGGTCGATTTTATATTTGGAAATGCTGCAGTAGTTTTTCAAAAATGCAACATTTACGCGCGTAAGCCCATGGCCCAACAAAAGAACACAATCACAGCACAAAATAGAAAAGACCCGAATCAAAATACAGGTATATCCATTCATGATTGCCGGATCTTGCCCGCCCCGGAGCTCGCTGCATCAAAGGGCAGCATTGAGACGTATTTGGGCCGTCCATGGAAAACGTATGCTAGGACCGTCTATATGTTGTCCTACATGAGTGATCATGTGCATCCACATGGATGGCTAGAATGGAATGGAGAATTTGCTTTAAAAACATTGTATTATGGTGAGTACATGAACTATGGGCCGGGTGCAGCCATCGGGAAACGGGTCAAATGGCCCGGATACCGCGTCATTACTTCTACGGTGGAGGCCAATCGATACACAGTGGCCCAATTCATCTCCGGTTCATCGTGGTTACCGTCCACCGGCGTGGCATTTTTGGCCGGGCTATCCACTTGATCTCTACCACCACAGATATATCTATATAGAAAGGATTTACTTTGTTACATAACCTCAATTGTGGGAATATATAGCTCCTATTTTTATAGTTTTATTTTGTATTAACTGTCCCAAAAAATAGTTTCTTGGGCAACATTTATTTTGTCAATAATGCAAATAAGTAATAACAAAAGTTAAGATGTAATCAGACTTTATATAATATAGGTCTTGTAATTGCATTATTCCCCTCAAAGTTAAAGGTGTTATTGTTGATTCAAGAACTTTGTGTACCATTTTCATATTCTTTGTTCATTTTTTTTCTATAAGCATGTTTTTGTTCATTGATAAAGATAAATTGGAAAACAATGGTATTTTTACAACTTTAGCATATTCGCTTAGTCCTACTTGGCCTATATTAGATCATGTGATCCATAAAACTATTTCCTTTACCAATGATGCTAATAACAATAATAATAGAATCAAAGTCTCATATGATATACTTTATTCTTCAAATATTTTCCAAATCAAGAGTATTATTTGATTGAATACGTTAATGTAAGATTTATTTGAATGTACTATTTGATACAATTTACAACCTCATATATGACTTTGTCCTACTTGAGCTACCAGCATGATCATGTGGGCATCGTGCGGTGTGCATCTATCCTCTATATTGAAGAGTCTTGGTCCTCAGATTTGATAATCCTCTTTTTTATATGATAATCCTCTTTCATTGGTGTTTGTCAGTTGGTGGTTGTTTAGGACAAAGGAGGAACAAACATGTCGAAACACCAACTAAGAAATGAGTAGTGACACACTATTCTTAACATTAATTTCACATGTGCATTCCTTATCACAAGCCTAATCCACATGTCCAACATTAGGATGAGTTTCCTCCACATGCAACTAGCTATAGTAGAAATCATGATACATTTTCATGTGTTTATTTAATTTTGTGCTATCCATAAATTTATTTTTATTGAAAACTCTAAACATAAGGACTTGTTTGGAAATATTATATTCCATTGTGAAAGCTAAAGAAAACAATTACATTTTTAAAGTATCTTATTTGTAATTGTATGGGTTTAAGAATGTCATGATCATTCATCAAAATATTCACAACATAGAGTGTATAAGACGTTTTTAGTAATTACTGAGATATTTATTTAGGTATAGAAGAATGACACGCCGTGATAATTCACCATAATCTCATCACGTAAACTATGCTTATTAGTAGTATCTAGAAGTCCCAATGTCTTCACGTAACTTCGAATTATATGAAGATTATTCAAATTAGATATAAGTCGGACCAATTCATTGAAATAGAAATTACATCGAGCGTATTCGAGTCCACTTGCTCTATAAATAGGGGACTCATTCTCCAAGTATGATGATACAATTTATTTTGGATCATCCAAAGACTCAAATAGATGAGATTTAATTCACCTCAAATCCACTTCACTTAACCCATATATAAAGCTAGTTCACACGAAATACAAGATACTTATCTGATCTCTACTTTTCACTACAATCATCATAAATTTTGAACTGACTTAGGCGTTGGAGACTAATCTTTCAGGTCCACCCTGCATCATCGTATCGAAGACCAACATCACTGGTTCAAGATCTTCATTTCACCAACTGCATCTAATTCTGGTTCTATAACGAAACAATAGTGTCATATGTGGGAATCGACTTTTGATTCCCGCATTTTCCAGGATTTCACGTTCGCTCTTCGATAATGTGTAACCTTCGAGAGTCACCAAATCAAGAGCAGTCAAAATTGAATGTGGAGGTTCGCCGTGTTCGATTTAATCGATCATCGTTTTAACTTTGATCCATCGAATTTTTGGATCTCTAATTTCCATGAAAACACCATGAAGTAAAAGAACAAATGATCCTAGATCCAAATCCAGATTTGCGCTAGAATTACCAAAGAATTGAGGTAATTGCCTTCAAGGTCAAATTGAAGAGTCCCGAACAACCTTCCAATCTTGCATCGCCTCAACTATATGTCGCTGACATGATACCACCTAGAAAAATAAATTTTGATGTGCCTTATTGGATTCGAGAAAAAATAAGAAGAGTATCTTAGTTCCATCATGGATATTTACAAATAAGAGGGGTCTTAGATTAGGAACCTAAACTCAACCATGTATTTTCATGCTGGCAACTAAAGATCCTAGTTTTCTTAGTTCCTTCAAATCAAGGTTCTTGAAATTGTACTTCTGAGTTTTCTGTTTTTACAAAAATGCATCTCTATATTTTTTCCCACTTTTGATACTTCCTAAATTACAGAGATGCACTTTTGTAATTTCTATGCACTGGTAATATTGTTTGCTTTGCCATGTCTCTCATCTGGGTTTGACTTGTTTGATTATGATATGAGTTTCTAGTTTTATCATAGGTACTATGGTTGAAAACGATGACTGATTGAGGCATGATCGAGTGGCCCAACAAACATCAGTTTGTGTAACACCCTTCTAAACCAACATACATTTCGCATATATTTTACGAAATTAAATCAAATAAAATCACAAACAAGGGTGTCACATCTTCATAAAAGCATCATATAAAACATTTTGCTCTGTAACACGAGTTTTTAAAATATTTAAAATAACTACTTCTTTAAAATCATCGATATCATATTCAAATTATTGCAGCGGAATCATAGTCTCAAAACATTTTTATTAAAAATACTCCATAGAGTCTTTCTCACACTTCATCATTCATGATTCAATAAATCAAACAATTAAATACCATAGAAGGTAACTCATCATCTCAAATAAACGTTTGATCCGCTGTCGCGCACGAATAAAAAATGAGTTATTTTAAAAAATATAGTTTAGCGACAATGACATGAGTATCATATCGCGAGGATTCTTGTATTTTTATTAACCAACAAAAACGATTATGGGAGATTTAATTCAGGATCAATTTTTAAAGAGTTAAGCAAATAAGAGATTAAAATAAGTGATTATAAAAATAAGTTGATCTACTATTTTCAGGTTCCTCCTAATCATTGGTTTTTACCTTACCAATTCCCTAAGCGGCTTCGACCTCTATTCGGTTTCAATACCAATTGATAAGCACAATAGATATAAAACAGATTGTGTTCCCATTCTGAATTAAGCAAACAGATTAATACAATCGTGAATTAAGCAAACATGATATAAAACGCGATTTAACGACTAAGCAACGTAAAGAGCGATTAATGATTAGGAATGCAATCATATAAATTTAATCAAGACACTCCATAAAATAACAGATTAAGCAAATGCAATTTTATAAAATAGAATTGAAAGAGTAATGAAATTGAATTGATAAATTAAAAACCTCAAAGCATCGAAACGTGATTACAGTAGATCAACTCTGGATGATTAGTTCTTCATTCAAGCGTACAAGCCAAAGTTTCTATCGTCAAAAGTGAATAATGTGTAACAACCTCACTAACGGCTGCAAGTCTTATAAAATAAAATAAGGGTTTCCACTTACAAAACTAACTGGGTCAAAAACATAACACATGCCCACTAAAAAGACCCCAAAACAAATTATTCTAATGTTGCAACTTCAACGAATTATTCAAGCCTTCTACATTTCGAATTAGCTTCTGGCTCCAACATGAAAGTTATAGCTCTTTCTCTTATCTTTCCAACGCATATTAGAATGCCTCGATCCGATTCTTGTAGCTTCAATTATGAAATTTTTTTAATGAAAGTTGTCAATACTGAAAATTAAATACGAAAATTAAATTAAACCAAAAATAAACTAAATTAGAAAAATATTATAAAACATAAAAATAAACAAAGTAAAACATAGAAATGCTTAAGTACAAACATGGAAGAATATGCATCAAAATGCACTGATCAAATTTCCCCATACTTGAACTTTTGCACTCCGAGCAAAATAGAATAAAAAACTCAAGAAACACAACAGCATCATCAGTTACTCATTACAGGCTACAAACTCTTCTTCGGTTAAGATTACATCGATAGGTACTAATCTTGCACACTAAGGATATTGTAAGAATGCTACTCCATAATTGTGCAGTCATAAGCCTCCTTAATATACAATCCAATTCGAATCATATTATTATGCCAAGGCCTAACTTACTCATTCTCCTTTTTGCTCTCTTTCATAATGGTGCAATCACATTAAGCCCGTTATCTCCATACACTCATAGTAAGGCGACCGGTTAGTGACTCTGGTCCTTTTTGCATGGGGTTATGGTACATGAGTGGTATAATCCTTTGCTTACCTAATTGTAGTTATGGGGGATCGGATCGTAATCCGTCCTACTAAGTTCAGCACCAGAAACCTATAAACCAACCAACAACGGGTCTGCTAATCAAATTTTGTAGGTTCCACAACCGTTGGGTTAAGTGACTAGGTGAGGGTTACCAAACTTATAAGGTGTATTCCCTATTTTTTTCCAAATAAAAACCTGGATCACTCACTTATATTCATCGACTTACCTACGTAGAGCATGTGTGAGATGGTGCTGACTGCTAAGATAAACTACTCAAGAGTTGTTAGAGAATGAGAATTCAAGGCTATGTCATAATAATTATTCAAATTAATTTTCATATGCAGGAGACTTACGGTGTTAAGACGATACTGATCTTGCAAACTTTTCCCAAGTCTCCATAACTAACCTCAGATTAATCTTATAACCCAAAACTTACACAAAGATGCATTTTTTATAATAATAACTGAAAACAAAACAACAAACAAAAGCAAAGAAAATAAACGATTCCCTCCCCCACACATAAAACATGCATTGTCCTCAATGAAAGGACATAACTATTAAATAAGAGTGAGAGAAAGGAAAGAACACACATGAATAGTCAAGGAGGATAAATGATCATATAAGAAGCCTTTTCTAAAGAGAGATCTTATACATTCTCTTCTTCCAAAGTGAGGCTCTCATGGATTAGCTTTGGGTTATGTCCATTGAACTTGAACTTTTTATTAGTGCCTTCGCCTTTTATTCCAGGATCAAAGAAGAATCTTTGATAAGT